GCTTGTGTGGACCTGTGTCCTTTCTAGAAAATACTTCCCTTCTGCAGTGTTTCCCTACGGTTAGGACATCACTGTGCTTTCTGTTTGTCCTTTGTATTTTCTTCACTGTTCTTAACGATCTTTTCAAAAGAAGATAAAATTACCTCTTCCCAACACACTTATCTTCCAAACCCAACATTTGTCTATATTGAGCTGGTTTTTTTTTGTTCTGGGACACAGAATATGTGTACAAATACAGTGAAACGGTGTACAGGTTCACTTACTGTGTGGTCAAGCTCTTCATTACCTACAGGATTAGTTGATGGCCAGGATTTCCTCAGTTAGGACATGAAGGTAATAAGGTCCAGAACAAGACTGAAAGCTGATGCCCGGAGTAGATCTCAGAAGCAAATCGAGCTTTTGTCGTGTCTGGACGAATTCTTCCTTTTCTACGTCTGTGAGGCTCCTTCTTTGTTCTCGCCCACATTGTGAGACACGGTACCTCTCTGATCCACAATACGCTGTGTGTTTCAGGCTCCGTTGTTCCTGGAGGACGTGGTCATCTTCTTCACCCAGGAAGAGTGGCCTTTGCTGACTGTCGCTCAGAAGAAACTCTACAGGGACGTGATGATGGAAATCTTGGAAAACCTGGACTTCATAGGTAAAAATGTGATTTCATATGTTTTCTAATCCTTGGAATGCAAAGAAAATGAATGCGTGCACATGACTTTTGAGCTTTGATAGAAGAAGTGGCGTACACGGTTCAGTGAAACAGGCATGGTCACCTTGCTTTTAGCACTCCCACGTCACAAATAATTTCTTTCTAGAAACCTCTGTGTCTGAGAGCTCCTTTTCTCGGCTGGGATTTAGGGGACTTAGATCTGTGACTATCCCAAGCGTACACTCTAACTTTTATGGGTCAGATTTCAAGGACTGGTCTTTGGGGCCGTGGGGGTCTAACGCTCATTTCGGGCGCCTGTGTTGTTATTGTCTTGGTGTTACGTCCAGTCGGATGCGAGTGGCACAGGGGGAGAGTGCCCCTCCGCCTCCAGTGAAGCGTCTGGAGGATTCGAACCCTGAGTTGTTGAGATTGCGGTGCAGCTTCTTGCCAGTAGGCCCTCGGAGCTGCCTAGGACTCCTGGGTGGGGAAGCTCTGCGCAATCGTCAATACGCTTTGGATCTTCTGTGTATTGAGACATTGGCATTTTCAAGAATCAAGTCGAAAATGTGTCTTCTTGCCTGATGTTACGGCTTAAGCGACCACGCCATGCCCTTTTCTGCATGACCAGGCCTGTCCTGGAGCCGTGCTTCTATTTTTCTTGTGATGTATGTCCTCTCTAATGGTTTTTGACTACTCTGTGATACTGTAATGTGTGTACTTTCTGTGTAATGTGTGTACTGTGTGAGTCATTACAGTCATTATCCATCAGAGGAAATTTATCATGTCTTTCATTGGTTTCAGAAGGGCTTCGTACTGAAGAGTTTGCTATGTAGTGTTGATGGGCTGACACTGAAAAATATGCCCACCTGACTGTGCACAGCCGCCTCACGAACCTCTAAATACTTTCTTTCTATTTTATGTTGGCAAAATTCTTTTCATTATTCCAGCAGACCTTGAAACCAAGAACGACGGACAAGTGTTATCCCCTGAATGTACTCAGGTGACATTCTTTGAGACTTCCCACCCTTGGCCTTCCATATTACGGAAAATGTTACAACTGTGTGGCAAAGAAAATCTACATAAACTCAAAGAGAACTATTGCACGTGAGTATCAGGAAAATGAAAGAAAATAGAAAATGCTAAATGAAGTCATGTGAGATTCTGAGCTGTTACGCTCATGCGTCTTCATTGTATTTTGTGGTGGGCAGACAGGAACATGCGTATTTACAAGTTGTGTGTTGTTTCTTTTTCCCAGAAGGCAAACAGTCCAGGAGGTGTGTGAAGGGATTGAAGACCCTGGGAAAATGCACATCGTATTTCCAAGTTATTCCTGCAACCGTGTGGACGTAAACCTGTTGAGGAGTGACCTTGGTGCCAGCAGCCATGAATGTAAGAAATGTGGCAAAGATTTCTGTACCTTCTCTGCATTTTGGATCCATGTGGTAGAAGAACATGAACCTACGGAATGTGCTGAGACCTGCGGAAATTCTTTCCCTTTAGTTTCCAAAGAAGCGTTTAATTTTCTAGAACAGCTTTATGAGTGTATTGAAAATGGGAAACCCTTTTCTTCTTCTGCCCCCCTTACTAGTACTTCAGATAGCGCAGGAAAGAAAGACATTGACAGTGTAGAGAATCCTTATAATTGTAAGGTATGTGGACAACCTTTTCGTTCCCTGTCCTGCCTAAGGAGACATGTGAGAACACACACAGACGGGAAACCCTGTGAATGTCACCAGTGTGGGAAAACCTTTCCTCGGCTTGCTAATTTAACTCTCCATGCCAAAATCCACGCAGGAGAGAGACCTGTTCAGTGTATGGAAGGTGAGAAGACCATTTCACTGTCGGATCGGCTCAGTAAACATAGAGGAATACACACAGGAGAGAGTCCCCAAGAATGTAAGGAATATGCAAAAGCGGTTTTCGAGTCCAGTCACCTCATCAGTGGTAGAAGAATTCACGGAGGACAGAGACCTTGCCGATGCAAGGAATGTACCAAGACCTTGTGTCCCATTTCTAATGTTAGAAGATACGTAAGAACGGATACAGGAGAGAAGTCTTATGAGTGTACGGATTGTGGAGAGGCATTCCCGTGGCTAGCTGCTCTCGAGGAACACAGACACGTGCACAAAAGAGAGAGACTTTATGAGTGTACACAATGCGGAAAAAAGTTTTTGCACTCAAGCAGCCTGAGTAAACATAGAAGAGTCCACACGGGAGAGAGACCTTATGAATGTCGGGAATGTGGCAAGACCTTTGCTCACTCAGGTAACTTCCTGTTACACAGCAGAGTCCACACAGGAGAGAGACCTTACGAGTGTCACGACTGTGCGAAGACCTTTTCCCAATCCAGTCAGCTCACGTTACATCGAAGAATCCACACAGGAGAGAGACCTTACGAGTGTCACGACTGTGGGAAAACGTTTACGCAGTCAAGTCAGCTCACCTCACATAGAAGAATTCACGCAGGAGACAGACCTTACGAATGTCAGGAATGTGGGAAAATATTTTCCCAGGCAAGTCACCTCGCTCTCCATAGAAGAGTCCACACGGGAGAGAAAGTGTACGAATGTCAGGACTGTGGGAAAACGTTTTCACGATCAAAGTACCTCACGGTGCATCGAAGAATTCACACAGGAGAGAGACCCTTTGCATGTCAGGACTGTGGAAAGACATTTTCCCAATCCGGTCACCTCACTGTACATAGAAGACTTCACACAGGAGAGAAACCTTTTCAGTGTCAGGAATGTGGGAAAACATTTTCGGACTCAAGCCAGCTCATTTTACATGGAAGAATTCACACAGGCGAGAGACCGTTTGAATGTCAGGACTGTGGGAAAACATTTTCAGAATCACGTCAGCTCACCTTCCATCGAAGAATTCACACAGGAGAGAGACCTTACGAATGTCAGGACTGTGGGAAAACGTTTTCACGCTCAAAGTACCTCTCTAAACATACCAGAATTCACACGGGAGAGAGACCTTTCGTATGTCAGGACTGCGGGAAAACATTTTTACGCTCCAGTCAGCTCACGGTGCATCGGAGAATTCACACGGGAGAGAGGCCTTACGCGTGTCAGGAATGTGGGAAAAGATTTTCCCAGTCGTGTCAGCTCACTGTGCATAGAAGAATCCACACGGGAGAGAGACCTTTTGAATGTCAGGACTGCGGGAAAACATTTTCCCAATCCGGTCGGCTCACGTTCCATAGAAGAATCCACACATGACACAGACCTTATTACGAATGTTGGCAGTGAACATTTTCTCGGTCGTGTCATCTCACTGTGCATAGAAGAATTCACACAGGAGACACACTTTATGAAGGTCAAGAATGTGGGTAAGCTTGTGCTTGGAGAGCCTGACGCTGTCGGACGGCTGCCACCATGAAGTTCAACCCTTTCGTTACCTCGGACCGCAGCAAGAACCGCAAACGCCACTTCAGTGCCCCTTCGCATGTGTGCAGGAAGATCAACAGATTGACAACGTCGTCCAGGTGTACAGAAAGAAGTATGTCATCTACGTTGAAAGAGTGCAGCGTGAGAAGGCTCATGTACCACAGTGCACGTGGGCATTCACCCAAGCAAGGTGGTTATTACCAGGCTGAAATTGGATAAAGATTGGAAAAAAATTCTTGAACGGAAAGCTAAATCTCGGCAAGTTGGAAAAGAGAAAGGCAAATACAAGGAAGAACTGATTGAGAAAATGCAGGAGTGAATGCAACCTGAGGAGCAACCGCAGTTTCACGAGATTTCCATCTGAGTATGCGTTCTTGTGATGTTCCAAAATGACCCTCTCAGTCAGAAGTGATTATAAATCTGCCTTTGCAATTTTGATTCCTATTTTTAAGAATAAAAATTGGAAATGTTTTACCCGTTTAAAAAAAAAAAGAATGTGGGTAAACCTTGGGCCTGTTGGGTCACCACACTCAACGTAGAAGAATTCACGCAGGAGAGACCTTAGGAATGTCAAGAGTTTTTACAGTGACGTCACCTCGGTGTGCATGGAAGAGTTCACATGGAGACACGCTTTATCAATGTCAGGCACGTGCAAACACATTTGCACGATCGAACAGCTTCCCTTTACACAGAAGAGTTCACACAGGAGAGAGATAAAAGGAATGTCAGGAGTGTGGGGAAACACGTTCAAGGTTAGATAAGCTCACTGTACATGGAAGAATTGACACAGGAGCGAGACCTTACACATGGCAGGACTGTGGTCCGCGTCCATTCAGCTCACATGACGTTGAGGAACTCACCCCAGGGGAGAGTGCTTCCGAATGTCAGCAATGTGGGCAAACTGTTTCTGCATCCGACAGGTGCTTTCGACATACAACAGTTCCCTCAGGACAGACACACCTTACAAATGTCAGTATTGGGGGAAAACATTTTTGCAAGGCAGTGCCCTCCCTGAACCTCGAATTGTGCACGCAGGACAGAGACCTTAAGAGTGTCAGGTATGTAGGAAAACAGTTTGACATTCGAGTCACCTCCCTGTGTATTTTCCAATTTGTAATGGATGCTAATTTTGATGTTATTAAATCATCTATCATACATCAACGTTGTAAAAGAAATGACTCTGCAGCTCCTGTTTGCTAGTGTCCAGTTGACTTTGAAGCGTCTGGATGGGTGATAGTGTAAGCGTGCAAGTGCTTAGACTGATGTCCTGCTTCCTGTGGTCGGAGCAAAATACAAGTGGACAGTATGTCCAGTCCTCATGGTGAGTGACCCCTGGTTGCCAAGCATGATATTAGCTACATCAGCCGGTCTGTAGATGAGGTAGAGAATTGTGTTGACTGGTGTTGTAAGAGGAGGGCATCTTATCGTTCTCACACCCTATTAGGATATTGTTCCCTATCGTTTGGACAAATCAGTCAGTGGCTTCAGAAAGCCTGTGTGACCAGCATGCC